CATACCACTGAAAACCTGAGTTCCAACTATGTCCCCGGATTTCTTAAATTTTGTATTTCAATCAAGTGCACTACACGTGATGACGTGAAGAAAAAAATTAGGCGATGTCCTCTCTCTCATATACATAGGGTCATTGTCTTTTATTTGTCTACTGTAGGTTCATCAGAGAAATAATGACTCTCCAATATTCAGCAAACTAAGCTGCCTTTGCTTTCAAATTACTCTGTGAACTTGAATATGAAGTGAATCTAGTTTAAATTCTCGTGCTGGAAACTATATTTGATTTATGCATAAGTTTTTGCAGTAGATTTGATAAATATTTTCATTTTGCATGCTTGCATTCAGCAAAAAATAGTTATAAGGTGCAAATGAGCTGCGAGAAATGCAGATCCAAAGCCATGATTGCTGCGATGGCGGATGGTTAGCTTTATTACTATTTCGTCTCCAACTTATTTTATTTGTTTTGCTTTTGAAAAAAAAAAATATAGATATGGTCAATAATTATGTCTTTGTCCATCATTTGATGTAATTTATTCTATATATTATATTGTGTACAGTATATATTTTTTTCACAAAAATAAAAGCAGTACTAAATGTGGATTCTTCATGTTCATGGCAGGTGTGAGTCAGGTGGAGATGCAAGGGCGAGAGTGATCAATTGGTGGTGATCGGAGAAGGAGTGGATGCCGTAAGCTGACGCTTTCCCGGAGGAAGAACTACCGATATGCTACTCTAGAGAGTGTGCAAGAAGAGAAAGATGACAGAAAATGGAGAAACCTAAAGAGACAAACCTATGGAACCTCCAATTCAGTGGTCACCATAAGTTATTATCAACAAATTCCTTCGCATCAATTTATGTTTATGAGGAAAAACCAAGTAATTGCTCCCTCATGTGACTAGTTGTAATGTTTAATTTGGTTTTTAGCCAATTATATTTCTAAGATATGGATTTGAAAATAATGCAAATTTTAAGTGAAAAAGTATTAGTTTTGAATGATCAAGTCTATGTTTTACTTCCACAGCGTTTGGCCCAAAGGTGCTTTTTTTTTTTTTTTTTTTTTTTTTTTTTTTTTTTTTTTTTTTTTTTGTGACCGTGAGTGTTTAAACCAGCTTATACGAACCTCAACTAATCTCTCGGGGTCATAAAGTGACAATCGGGTAAATCTTTCAATGGTTATCCCTATTAGTGCTTGAGGGACTCGAACTCAGAGGACTCTTTGCTCTTTTACATTAGGCCACCCAGTGGTGGTTAAGGCTATTGTTTCTTTGCTTTCTAGAGATTAAGATAAAACTCCCCCATACTTTTCCAAGCCAGCTACACATCCATATGTTATATGTAAGTTGGCTAATACAAGTTTTGTAATGTCATTACCCACCTCAACAAGTGACTCGAAAATATGATCATTACGTAGTACCTTTATTCACTAAATGAGATGGGGCTCAGATTGGAGTCTTACCCATGTCAATAGTGGGACTCAAAGAACATCCCCCAACTCGAACTTGGATCCTGAATCTTTTGGAAAGATGAAACAATGGTGTATAATTTTCCTGACAAAGAGAAGAAGACATTGCGTTTAATTAGATCCTGAATCTTCTAAATTGTTGTTTTGCTTGTGTAATAATGCTATGATACATGAGGAGTACTGTCTGGTCGTATGTTTAGACAAAGAAAGGTTGTTGTGACTTTTGCGTTTCTTCTTCTTATTAAATGCAGTTCATTGATTTAGTTTTCTTGTGGCCTAGATTACAATAAGGTTTCTTCTCCTTTCTATCTCACTCGCAATGACATTTTGTCTTTCCCGATGGTATCATTTTCTTTCTTTTCCATCATTTAACTCTTGCTTTTGCTTCTTATCAAATTTTGTCTTTGCTTAACTGTTACTATTACCGCCTCTCACTTAATCGCGGATGTTCAGATAGAGAATCGAAGTTAAGACGATGAGTCTATCAACTCTATCCCTAATTGATCATTCTAACCATCTGGACTACCCACGCATTATTAACTCTTACATTTTCTTTCTTTTTCATCATTATTAACTCTTTCATTTTGTCTCTTATCAAAATTTTGTCTTTGCTTATTGTTACTGTTACGGCTTCTCACTTAAATCGCGGATGTTCAGATGGGAATCGAAGCTAAGAGGTGAGTCTATCAACCTATCCCCACAAATCATTCCAACCATTGTAATACCCACATATGGTTTAAACTTAATTATTATAATTAATGTGTACTACTACCCTCAACATCTTATATTGGTTAATATATAAGTCAAATTCATGAATGACTTATCAAATTATGCTAAGTATAGGATGATTAATTCGTTAACAGGAATGTAACTCGCAATTTTTTTTATTGTTAGACTTTAGAGAGAGAAAAAAAACAATTATGACGAAAGATTATAGTGTAACCAAAAGTCATGTTTGATGAAATGGTCCTTACCTGAATAAATCTGCTTTGTCTTCATCAAATTCCATATGGTTGAAGTAATCCGTTCGTCTTTGTTTTCACATTGAAATTTCTACGACCCTAGCATGTTGCTTTTGGTCAATAAAGGCAGACAAAGGCTTCATATTAGTGGTTGTTATATATCACTAGGAAAAAGATTGAACTATGCCAACGGGGAACCCCTTTAGCAACGGCCTAAAATAGATATAATTTCTTCTAGTTCTGTACTCTAAATTCTCCAAACTAAAGCGCCTTTGTTATTGTTAACATGAAGGTAATTAAACCTGTTTTTACTTTATTATTTCATACCAAACTAAGCTTTTGCTATTTCAAGTACTGATGTATATTCTCTCTATGTTTTACGTTCAGAAAAAGATAGTTATAAAGTTGCAAAAGGATGCGAAATGCAGATCCAAGGCCATGCAGATGGCGGTGGACGTAGATGGTAAGCTTTAATTTAAATCCAACTATATTTCCCTTAAATATGTGTGTCTCCTCACCTTTTTTTCAAAATAATAAAATTTCCTTGTGCCGTCGAGGTTTATATATATTTATAGGTGTGACTAAGGTGGAGATACAAAAAGACAAAGATGAGATGGTGGTGATAGGAGATGAAGTGGATTCAGTTAGGCTAACCAAGTCACTGAGAAAAAAATTTAAATATGCGGACAAAGTGAGTGTGCAAGAAGAGAAAGAGAAAAGGAGGAGGAGAAGAAGAAGGAGGAGACAGTGACTCTAACACTGTTGCCAGGCATAAGTTACTATCCATATCCTATTCATGAAGCATATGATCCATACCAAACTAGTTTTTGCACCATTTTGTAATCAACAGTAATTCACTGATATTCAGCTTGAATTAGTACTATTATATATCATATATAGAAGAATTATATGATATATAGTTGGTGTTATATATATGGACAAACAGTTTCATGTGTGAATGATATTGAATCAGAATCAAAGAATTAATGAAATATTTTTCATGTTATTGTTATATGGGTATGCATATTTTTTTAAATTATACAGTACGGACACTTAAAATTAATACACTTATATTTTCATACGTTAAACCATAGGAAAGAATATATAAGAGTACTAAAAAATAAAAAAAATTGGATAAACCTAGTAATTACGTATCCCGCAGCTGAAATACAAGACCCTTGATTATTTAACATTTTCTTATTCTATTAATTGAATCAATGAGAAATATAAAAAAAAAAAAAAAATTGCCAACAATATATAATTTGCCTTTCCAACACAATGTTATTAATTTCCTTGAAAGTAATTTAACAAGGAATTCTTCCTACTTGCATGAATATATATAAAGAACAATACTGCTAAATTGTAAATGATTTTCAATTTATATTTTCTCACTACTATTTTTAATTCTAATTATTTATAAAAATAATAATAATGATAATGATGAAACCAATGTTCCAAGAGACAAGCTTGGACCTTGGAGGGGTCGTTGACCAAAGACTTGGTGAAACCACAAACGAATTTTTATGAAATGGTCCCTTAGCTATCATGATCATACCCCATCACCCTTCAATGTTCTTAACTTTTATCTGAATAAAATTTCTGGTCTACATTAATGGCACGTGGACTTAATTACTTCTCCGCCTTTGTTTTCAAACAACATTTAATTCCAAGGTCGAGAGCTAGGGTCTAAACCCAAACAAACGCGACCATAATATAATAATAAATCAGTTTAAGTAAAACTTACATTCAAAAGCTAACTCAAGAGTGGAAAGAATCAAACCACATATATATACCATAACAATTTATGTATCAGCTTAACGGTGTGAGACAAATTTAACTGAACAAAATTCTGTTGAAATTTATTTTCTCTTAATTTACGTATCTATGTCCATATTAATTTTCATGAATCCATATATGTTCAGGGAGTAATTATGATGTACAGTGATTAATTTATTTCTACTTTCACATACCACTGAAAACCTGAGTTCCAACTATGTCCCCCGGATTGCATTAATTTTTAATTTCAATCGAGTGCAATACACGTGATGACGTGAAGAAAAAAAATTAGGCAAAGATGTCCCCATGATTGACCTCTCTCTCATATAAATAGTGTCATTGTCTTTTATTTCTCTACTGTGAAGTTCATCAGAGAAATAATGACTCTCCAATATTCAGCAAATTAAGCTGCCTTTGCTTTCAAATTACTCTGTNTAATAAATTAATTTGATCCCACCATTATGACTATAGAGAGATTTTACTGTATAATCAAGTTCACAAGCCATGCGTACAAAATTACGGTGAAATTTATTTTCTCTTAATTTACGTATCTATATCCATATTAATTTTCATGAATCCATATATGTTCAGGGAGTAATTATGATGTACAGTGATTAATTTATTTCTACTTTCACATACCACTGAAAACCTGAGTTCCAACTATGTCCCCCGGATTGCTTAAATTTTGTATTTCAATCAAGTGCAATACACGTGATGACGTGAAGAAAAAAAATTAGGCAAAGATGTCCCCATGGTTGACCTCTCTCTCATATACATAGTGTCATTGTCTTTTATTTGTCTACTGTGAGGTTCATCAGAGAAATAATGACTCTCCAATATTCAGCAAATTAAGCTGCCTTTGCTTTCAAATTACTCTGTGAACTTGAATATGAAGGTGAATCTAGTTTAAATTCTCGTGCTGGAAACTATATTTGATTTATGCATAAGTTTTTGCAGTAGATTTGATAAATATTTTCATTTTGCATGCTTGCATTCAGCAAAAAATAGTTATAAAGGTGCAAATGAGCTGCGAGAAATGCAGATCCAAAGCCATGAAGATTGCTGCGATGGCGGATGGTTAGCTTTAATTACTATTTCGTCTCCAACTTATTTTATTTGTTTTGCTTTTAAAAAAAAAAAAATATAGATATGATCAATAAATTATGTCTTTGTCCATTATTTGATGTAATTTATTCTCTATATATATATATATATTGTGTACAGTAGATTATTTTTTCACAAAAATAAAAGCAGTACTAAATGTGGATTCTTCATGTTCATGGCAGGTGTGAGTAAGGTGGAGATGCAAGGGGCAGATAGCGATCAATTGGTGGTGATCGGAGATGGAGTGGATTCCGTTAAGCTGACGCGTTCCCTGAGGAAGAAACTCCGATATGCTACTCTAGAGAGTGTGCAAGAAGAGAAAGATGACAAGCAAATGCAGAAACCTAAAGAGGACAAACCTATGGAACCTCCAATTCAGTGGTCACCAATAAGTTATTATCAACAAATTCCTTCGCATCAATTTATTGTTTATGAGGAAAAACCAAGTAATTGCTCCCTCATGTGACTAGTATTTGTAATGTTTTAATTTGGTTTTTAGCCAATTATATTTCATAGATATGGATTTGAAAAATAATGCAAATTTTAAGTGAAAAAGTAATAGTTTTGAATGATCAAGTCTACGGTTTACTTCCACAGAGTTTGGATCAAAGGCACTTTTTTTTTTTTTTTTTTTTTTCTTGTTGTGACCAGAGGTGTTTCGATAAGTTTGTACGAGGGGTCCTAAAATGAACGATTGGGTAAATCTCCTCAATGACTATCCCTATTAGTGCTTGGGGTGACTCAAACTCAAGAGAACTCTTTTGCTCTTTTACAATCAGGCCACCCAGTGGTAATTAAGGCTATTGTTTTTTGCTTTCCAGAGATTAAGAATAAAATTCCCTCATAATTTTCCAAGCCGGCTACACATCCATATGTTATATGTAAGTTGGCTAATACAAGTTTTGTAATGTCATTACCCACTTCAACGAGTGAGACTCGGAAAATTACTGATCATTACGTAGTTCCTTTATTCACTAAATGAGATGGGGCTCAGATTTGAGTCTTACCCATGTCAAATAGTGGGACTCAAAGAACATCACCCAACTCGAACTTGGATCCTGATTGTTTTGGAAAGATGAAAACAATGGTGTGTAATTTTCCTGATAAAGAGAAGAAGACATTGCGTTTAGATGACTCCCGAGTCTTCTAAATTGTTGCTTTGCTTGAGTAATAATGCTATGATACATGAGTACTTGTCTGGTCGTACGTTTAGACAAAGAAATGGTTGTTGTGACTTTTGCGTTATTCTTTTTCTTATTAAATGCAGTTCATTGATTTAGTTTTCTTGTGGCCTAGATTACAATAATTGTTTCTTTTCCTTTCTATCTCACTCGCAATGACATTTTGTCTTTACTGATGACATAATTTTCTTTCTTTTCCATCATTAACTCTAGCATTTTCTCTTATCAAAATTTTCTCTTTGCTTTACTGTTACATCCTCTCACTTAAATCGTGGATACTCTCAGATGAGGAATCGAAGCTAAGACGGTGAGTCTATCTACTCTATCCCCAACTCATTCTAACCATTTGGACTACCCACAGATAGGTTTAAAATTAATTATTATTAATTAATGTGTACTAACTACCAATCAACATCTTATATTGGTTAATATAAAAGTCAAATTCATGAGATGACTTATCAAATTAGGCTAAGTAAAGGATGATTAATTCGTTAACAAGGAGTGTAACTCTGCAATTTTTTTTTTATTGTTTAGACTTTAGATTAAAAAAAAAATTATGACAAAAGATTAAAGCATAACCAAAAGTCTATGTTTAATGAAACAATAAGATGTACAAACAAATCTTACAAAGATTTGTATACAAATTGATATGACTTCAAATGAATGAAATGATCCTTAATTTAGCTACCATGACTCATCATCCACCAGTCTGTGAATAAATCTGCTTGTCTTCGTCAAATTGCATATGGGTTGAACGTTGAAGTAATCTGTTCGTCTTTGTTTTCACATTGAAATTTCTACGACCCTAGATGTTGCGTTTGGGTCAATATAAGGCAGACAGAAGGCTTCATATTAGTGGTTGTTAATATATCAACAAGGAAAAAGACTGAACTATGCCAACGGGGAACCCCTTTAGCAACGGCCTATAAATAGATATAATTTCTTCTAGTTCTGTACTCTAAATTCTCCAAACTAAAGCGCCTTTGGTTATTGTTAACATGAAGGTAATTAAACCTGTTTTTACTTTATTAATTTCATACCAAACTAAGCTTTTGCTATTTCAAGTACTGATGTATATTCCCTCCATGTTGTACGTTCAGAAAAAGATAGTTATAAAGTTGCAAATGAAGGATGCGAAATGCAGATCCAAGGCCATGCAGACGGCGGTGGACGCAGATGGTAAGCTTTAATTTAAATCCAACTATATTTCCCTTAAATATGTGTGTCTCCTCATCTTTTTTTCAAAGTAATAAAATTTCCTCCTACCGTCGAGATATCTATATATAGGTGTGACTAAGGTGGAGATACAAAAAGACAAAGATGAGATGGTGGTGATAGGAGAAGAAGTGGAAACAATTAGGCTAACCAAGTCACTGAGGAAAAAATTTCAATATGCGGACATAGTGAGTGTGCAAGAAGAGAAAGAGAAAAAGGAGGAGGAGAAGAAGAAAGAGGAGACAGTGACTCTAACGCCGTTGCCAGCCATAAGTTACCATCCATATCCTATTTATGAAGCATATGATCCATACCAAACTAGTTTTTGCACCATTTTGTAATCAACAGTAATTCACTGATATTTCAGCTTGAATTAGTACTATTATATATCATATATAGAAGAATTATATATGATATATAGTTGGTGTTATATATATGGACAAACAGTTTCATGTGTGAATGATATTGAAGCAGAATCAAAGAATTAATGAAATATTTTTCATGTTATTGATATATGGGTAGGCATATATTTTTAAATTATAAATTGGTAAATCCGGTAATTGTCTCTCCCATGTCTCAAATACAAGACTCTTGATTACATAAAATTTTCTTTTTCTATTAAGTGAATTAATGATAAATAAATAAATAAATAAATTGCCAACAACAATAAATAGTTTGCTTTTCCAACACAACCTTATTAATTTCCTTGAAAGTAATTTAACAAGGAATTCTTCCTACATGCATGAATATATATAAAGAACAATACTACTAAATTGTAAATGATTTTCAATTTATATTTTCTCACAACTATTTTTAATTCTAATTATTTATAAAAATAATAATAATGATAATGACGAAACCAATGTTCCAAGAGACAAGCTTGAACCTTGCAGGGTTCGTAGACCAAAGACTTGGTGAAACCACAAAGAATTTTCATGAAATTGTCCCTTAGCTATCATGATCATGACCCATCACCCTTCAATGTTCTTAACTTTTATCTGAATAAAATTTCTGGTCTACATTAAAGGCACGTGGACTTAATTACTTTTCCACCCTTGTTTTCAAACAACATTTTATTCCAAGGTCGAGAGCCAGGGTTTAAACCCAAACAAACGCGACCCTAATACAATAATAAATCAGTTTAGGTAAAATTTACATTCAAAAGCTAACTTAAGAGGGGAAAGAATCAACCACATATATACACCATAACAATTTATATATCAGCTTAACAGTGTGAGACAAAATCAACTTCTAACAATTATGTTTATAGATAAATCAGCTATGACAAAAGGTTGGACCAAAAATTTCATTACGTTATTAAATACTTTTAAAGATATAGCTAAATGAAAATACTATGATTTTCAAATGAAAAAATGTACTAATTTTCTGAGATTAGAAAATAGTAATACTACACATACATCATTTTCATACAATATTTCTCCTACAATATTATGTGGCAAGATATGATTGACTAATTTAAAGTTAAAATTAAACTTTTACCTAATCATATCTTATCACATAATGTTACATTAGAAATATTATATGAGAATGATGTATATATGATATTAGTCATAGAAAAATATTCTCCATCATTATTCAATGTATTGCGTGTCCAAAGGGCCAAACAGCCACTTGATTATGATATGTTAATTTGGTTCTCATCTTCCCATCAAATCAAGGTCCTGTATGAGAACAAAATTAATTAATTTTTTCTTTGTTGAAGAAAGTAGTGTAGCTTTTCCAAGAGGTTGCCCTTTGGCTATTGCCTATAAATAGATGCATTCTCTTCAATTTCTTTACAGTAAATTCTCTAAGTAAAGCTGCATTTGGTCACTGTCCAACATGAAGGTGAGCCTAGCTATTTCTATTCTTATTAATTTCATGCATGAAAGCAATTTACATTCCAATTGATTTATAGTTTTTTATATGCTTTGCGGTTCAGCAAAAGATAGTCATAAATGTGGTGAAAATGAACTGTGAGAAATGCAAATCGAAAGCCATGAAGATTGCGGTGAAGGCCAAGGGTTAGCTCTATTATATTTTAACTCCAACTTTGCCTTGGCTTTTGCCCTTTTGATCAACGTTCAGTTTTTATTGGATGTATAGGTGTGACCAAGGTGGAGATTCAAGGAGAACATAAGGATCAACTGGTGGTGATAGGAGATGAAGTGGACTCAGTTAAGCTTACTCGATCTCTCAGGAAAGAATTTCAATATGCCAATTTATTGAGCGTACAAGAAGAGAAAGAGAAGAAGGAGGAGAAGAAGGAGGAAATAACTCTAATGCAATGGCCAACAGTGAGTTACTATCAACAATATCCTATCCCTTGTGATCCAAATCCTTCTTGCTCCATTATGTAAGCAACATTTGCTGATATGAAGCCTGACTTAGGATTCTTATTATGGAAGAATTATCCCTTTTTGCTTAACTTTTCTAACTCTATTATATTTTACTATCATATTTTAAACACTGAAACGTATTTGTTTTAATATTGACTATTCAATTTAAAATCTAATCATATTATATTCAACTCAAAATATTTTACAATTACATTCCACAATAAAAGTTTATAAATTAATAAAAACACCCCCATCCACCCAAGCCACAATCACCCGCCTATTGTCGTGACTCTGGCCGTTTCCAGCCAGGTCCACCATGGATCTAGTCGGAAACGGCTAGATCTACAGCCAAATCTATTTAATCGTCGTTATGGCCATAGATCTAGTTATTTCTGACCAAATATACGATGGATCTAGTTGAAAAAGACCAAATCGATGCACAATCGATCAAATCTAACTGGTCGTATACCATTCTGGCAACTGTCGGCTACCGTCTGACGGTGGTGACCTACTGGCGACAGTCAGTTAGGTGGGTAGGGATGTTTTTATTAATTTAGAAACTTTTTTTTTTTGGGGGGGGGGGGGGGGGGGGGGTGTGCAACTAATTAACAAATGTACTTGGTTAAAAAGTTATCTAAATGTTTTTAGAAAAAGATTCCCACGACTCAAACGCAAAATTATAACAAGCAACAAAAAAATAAAGCAAACCAAACACAAGAATTTTAAAGTGGTTTGGCCAATCAATTTAGCCTACGTCTACCATCCACTCAAATAATCTACCAAGCAAAAGCTTACAATTGTGCAATTTTTAAAAAGGAAAAATTACAAACTCCTTACTTTATCCCAAAAAATCCAATTACACCTTTAATAACAGCCTACAATGACTATTCTTTTGATGTCTATTTTACACTTTTTAAGATAATTTAAAAACTCAATCTACTAGTCTATTTAAAGGGGAAAGTCCCCTTGCAACTCCCTTTCCCAGGCAATATGGGATTCAAGGCACAATTCGAACAAAACTCATAGGAAAGAATACATAAGAGTACGTAAAAAAAAAATTGTTAAACCTAGTAATTACCCTTGATTACGTAAAATTTTTCTTTTTCTATTAAGTGAATTAATGATAAATAAATAAAAAAATTGCCAACAATATATAGTTTGCTTTTCCAACACAACATTATTAATTTCCTTGAAAGTAATGTAACAAAGAATTCTTCCTGCATGCATGAATATAAAGAACAATAATACTAAATTGTAAATATTTTCAATTTATATTTTCTCACTACTATTGTTAATTCTAATAATGAGATAATGATGGTTTCGTCATTATTTTCAAATTCTAACGTTATTTTCTCACTATTAAATTCTAATATTTTCAATAATGGTCTCGTCATTATCATTATTAAAAATAATGATAATGACGAAACCAATGTTCCAAGAGACGAGCTTGGAGGGCCTGTAGACCAAAGAGGCAAAGACTTGGTGAAACCACAAACGAATTTTCATGAAATTGTCCCTTAGCTGTCATGATCATGACCCATCGCCCGCCAATGTTCTTAACTCTTATCTTAATAAAATTCGTGGTCTTCATTAATGGCATGTGGACTTAATTAATTTATCCATCTTTGTTTTCAAATTACGATTAATTCCAAGACCAAGGTCTCTGATACCATGATAAACCGAATTGGGTAGAACTCATTCTCAAAAGCTAATTCAATGGAGGAGAAAGTCCAACCACATATATAAATCATAGTAGTCTACCAACTTAGTGATGTAAGATAAATTCAACGTCTTAACAATTATTTTGTAGATAAATCAGCTATGGAAAAAGGTCGGACCAATAATTTCATTTAGTTATCAAAAACTTTTAAATATATAGCTAAATGAAAATACTATGATTATCTAATGAAATAATGTGCTAATTTTCTGCGATTACAAAAACATTCTCTGGCTTTATTCAATGTGCGTGTCTAAGGGCCAAACAGTCACTTGATTATGATATGTTAATTTGGTTTACTTCATTATAACTTGTTTAATTGGTTCTCATCTCCCCATCAAATAAAGGTCCTGTATGAGAACAAAATTAATTAATTTTTTCTTTGTTGAAGAAAATAATATAGCTTTTCCAAGAGGTTGCCCTTTGGCTATTGCCTATAAATAGATGCATTTTCTTCAATTTCTTTACAGTAAATTCTCTTAAGTAAAGCTGCATTTGGTCATTGTCCAACATGAAGGTGAGCCTAGCTATGTCTATTCTTATTAATTTCATGCATGAAAGCAATTTACATTCCAATTGATTTATAGTTTTTTATATGCTTTGCGGTTCAGCAAAAGATAGTCATAAAGGTGGTGAAAATGAACTGTGAGAAATGCAAATCGAAAGCCATGAAGATTGCGGTGAAGGCCAATGGTTAGCTCTATTATATTTTAACCCAACTTTGCCTTGGCTTTTGCCCTTTTGATCAACGTTCAGTTTTTATTGCGTGTATAGGTGTGACCAAGGTGGAGATCCAGGGAGACCAGAAGGATCAACTGGTGGTGATAGGGGACGAAGTGGATTCAGTTAAGCTTACTCGCTCTCTCAGGAAAGAACTTCAATATGCCAATTTATTAAGCGTGCAAGAAGAGAAAGAGAAGAAGAAGGAAGAGGAGAAAATAACTCTAGTGCAATGGCCATCAATGAGTTACTATCAACAATATCCTATCCCTTGTGATCCAAATCCTTCTTGCACCATTATGTAATCAACATTTGCTGATATGAAGCCTGGCTTAGGATTCTTATTATGGAAGAATTATCCTCTTGTTTGTTTAACTTTTCAACCTCTATTCTATTTTACTATCCTATTTTAAATATTGGAAAACATGTTTGTTTTAATATTAACTATTCAATTCAAAATTCAATTATATTTTATTCAACTCAAAATATTTAACAATAACCTTTCATAATAAAAGATTATAAATTAACAAAAACATCCCCATCCACCCAATCCACAATCCACAATCACCTGCCAGCTGCCTCGGCTTTGGCCGTTTTTGGCCAGATCCACCATGGATCTAGCTGGAAACGGTCAGATCTACAACCAAATCTATCTAACCATTGTTATGGCCATAGATCTAGCTATTTTCGACCAAATATATGATGGATCTAGTTGAAAAAGACCAGATCGGCGCACGATCGGTCAAATCTAAATGGTCGTATACCATTCTGGTGACTGTCGACCACTGTCCGACGGTGGTGGCCAGCTGCCAACAGTCAGTTAGGTGGGTAGTGGTGTTTTTATTAATTTAGAAACTTTTATTTGGGGGGGGAGGGGGTAGCTAAATTAACAAATGTAGGAGGTTAAAAAGTAATCTAAATGTTTTCAAAAAAATGTACCAAACACATTCTCATAATCCTATCATATTTGAATAAAACCCAACCCTATCCTATGCAAAATAGAATATTATTTCAAATAACATACCAAACAGGCCCTATATGATTGTGGGCGTTATCTATGAACAATAAGAACCCTTAGACAAGGATAAAATCACATGACGATGTCAAATTCACTAAATGATCATATTATTTATAGTTTAAGTTGTACAAAATTAATATTTCTCTAAGGCCAATGGCAAATATAAATAACAGTGATCTTTCCTCTTATAGTTGGATGACAAGCGCTTTAGTCACTGAGATTAGTTATATTTAAGGGTCTTGTATTGGAGTCATTGGAGAGAAAATTATTGGGTTTATCCTATANCAGCAAAAGATAGTCATAAAGGTGGTGAAAATGAACTGTGAGAAATGCAAATCGAAAGCCATGAAGATTGCGGTGAAGGCAAATGGTTAGCTCTATTATATTTTAACTCCAACTTTGCCTTGGCTTTTGCCCTTTTGATCAACGTTCAGTTTTTATTGCATTTACAGGTGTGACCAAGGTGGAGATTCAGGGAGACCAGAAGGATCAACTGGTGGTGATAGGGAACGAAGTGGATTCAGTTAAGCTTACTCGCTCTCTCAGGAAAAAACTTCAATATGCCGACTTATTGAGCGTGGAAGAAGAGAAAGAGAAGAAGAAGGAAGAGGAGAAAATAACTCTAGTGCAATGGCCAACAATGAGTTACTATCAACAATATCCAATCCCTTGTGATCCAGATCCTTCTTGCTCCATTATGTAATCAACATTTGCTGATATGAAGCCTGGCTTAGGATTCTTATTATGGAAGAATTATCCTCTCGTTTGTTTAATTTTTCAAACTCTATTCTATTTTACTATCCTACTCTAAATACTGGAAAACATGTTTGTTTTAATATTGACTATTCAATTCAAAATCTAATCATATTCTATTCAACTCAAAACATTTAACAATTACCTTTCATAATAAAAGTGTATAAATTAACAAAAAAACACTCCCATCCACCCAAGCCACAATCACCTGCCAGCCGCTGCGGCTCTGGCCGTTTTCGACTAGATCCACCATAGATCTAGTCGAAAATAGTCATATCTACAGCCAAATCTATCTAACCATCATTATGGTCATTGATCTGGCCGTTTTCGGCTAGATACATATTTATGTTTGGCCGAAAAAGGTCAGATTGACGCACGACCGGCCAAATCCAACTGGTCATGTACCATTTCGGCGACTGTCAGCCACCGTCTGACAGTGGTGGCTGGCTGTCGACAATCAGTTGGGTTGATAGGGGTGTTTTTATTAGTTTAGAAACTTTTATTGGGGGGGTGGGGTGGGGGTTTGGGAGGGTGTTTAGCTAAATTAACAAATGTAGGGGATTAAAAAATAATCTAAATATTTTCAAAAAATATATCGAAAACATTCTCATAATCTTATCATATTTGAATAAAACCCAACCCTATCCTATTCAGAAAAGAATATTATTTCAAATAACGTACCAAACAAGCCCTATATGATTGTGGGTGTTATCTATGAATAATAAGAATCATTAGACAAGGATAAAATCATGTGACGATGTCAAATTCACTAAACGATCATATTATTTATATTTTAAGTTGTACAAAATTAATATTTCTCTAAGGCTAGCTAATGGCAAATATAAATAACAATGAGCTCTTTTCTTATGGTTGGATGACAAGCGTTTTAGTCATTAAGATTAGTTATACTTAAGAGTCTTGTGTTCAAGTAATTGGAAAGGAAATTATTAGGTTTATCCAATATATATATATATATGATAAGTTAATAGTTTGATCCATCCATTTTTCAATCAATATATTATTTATTAGAAACCATAAAGAGCTTACACACAGTAATATTAATTTCAAACAAGCTCTCTCCTTGATCATCAAGCTCCTTGATGTGTACACCATATCGGAAATTATGGCAACCATAGAGCATACTCATGACAGCTTTATTCATTCATTTTATAATACATTATATGATAAAACTACCGCTATGTTCTATGGTATAACCAGCTAAAATTATAAAGTTTTCCAAGCAACAAATGCTTTTCACGATCGCTAAGGATATTGGAATCACGAACTGATTAAGTACATAAATTAATCTCAAGAGGACCATTCTTAGCCGGTAGTAAATTTACTAAGAAAATACAACAAAGAGAGAGTGACGTTCCACCCACCTGTCAAAATTGGAAATTTAGTTTGCATGAAAGTAATTAAACGAGGAAGACTGACAGATAATTACGTGATATTTTCTGAAGACCTTTCTTGTGTGGTTCCGGTTAAGTCTTTTGGTCTATGTACGTGATCAGTTTGCCTTCTATGGCAGGGCGTTGGTCTTCTTCGTCGTCAACCTGGAAAATCGATATAAGAATTGTAGGACTTGCAAAACGGGACGAATCTAATGACCGCATCAGTGACAGTGAGTTAGCTTTCCAGGACAAATTAACTGTAGCACGAGTTACTGAATATTCAACTGATATGCATGCATTGACTGATGATTTACAGATAATATGATTGGTCAAATTAAACTGAAGATCTTCCTCATATGCATGCATTGATTTATGATAACGCTTTTGAGATTTCTGGTGTTACCAATCCCTTTCTGTTGTTATAAATGGTCGGGAAGTGATTTTTAGCCCTCATCAAATTTATCAATATCCCTCATTTTTTAAATTTTTTTTTTTTTTTTTTATCTTGACAATTTTAACCTTAATAAAACAATTACTAGAAATTACATAATAATTTCTAAATATATTTTTTTTTGTAACTAAGATGTTTGAGTCAGCGTACACGCATCTAAAGTAATCCTCGAGGGAAGACTAGCCTATTTCATATTTTTGTTTTATTTTTAACCTTTATTTCTTAATCATAAACACTAACTCTAAATCTTCCAAATCATTGAAACTCTGTTTTTTTTAATTTCAAATATTTCTTTGTTTGGTAAAAATTTATTACTAAAGCTATGAAGAAAGTAATCAAACAACGGGATGAATCTAAATCTAAATCTAAATCTGAAGAAGAAAAATCAACTTTCAAATTTGAAATTGGGAAAAAAGGGTATAAATAAAAAAAAAAAAATCTAATTATGAAATTGGTTAACTTATGGCCAGATGGCAAAACCCTTTAACCACGTGGGTTAGTTTTACCCATAAGGTCTTGTGTACTTGCTACATAATTTGTACAATTATCTTGACCCATTGAGCTTATAAGGTGTTATATGATCATGAAGATTACACAGGCTCCTCCAATGTGGACTTGGACACTTCAGTTACCTAAAAGAAAAAAAAAATAATAAAAACGTTGCCTGCAAAAATCTAAAAAAAATTAAGTAGGGTTATTTTTTGCAATAATACTAACATAACAAACCCCTCTCACTAACTCCATGTGGGAGTTTGTAATTGGCTTGGACAGACGGGACCTATTATTGGACAGGTAGGACCCATGTGAATTGACAAATTGTGAGCTGACACGTGATATTTGTGAGAGAAAATTAATAAAAAGTGTTTGTAGGTGTAGTGTTACTCTATTTTTTTTGTATTAAATGGAGTTTAAAGAGAATATTTTTAAATATAGTAGAAGTGTATTTACCAATGGTGGATACTAACGGAAGCTAAAAATCATTTCACCACACAAGCCCGAGCATAGAGTGTGGTTTATGTGACATGGGCCATAAGTTCCGGCCCAACTCAACCTTTACCAAATGATCCAAACTAAGAAAAATCCATACCCTTTTCACTTCTCCAAAATTAATTGCAAAGGTTTTTAATTAAGAAAACAACTAATCAAACAACAGGGTGATTAATTAATAATTAAAAGATGTTCTTAGGTGAAAAGATTCTTTCCGTGCTTAGCTGAAAGTTTGAAACTAATGGCACAACAGGTTTGGTAAATTAATGACTAATCTTAATTAGTAATCCACTAATTAAGATTATTAATTAACTTAAAAAATTTATCAGCTAATCACTTTCTGTGTTGCTGCCAAGTGTCCTAATGAGCATAAAATGGCAACCACCATTCCAACTTTGAACTACAAGTAAAGAGAAAATGTCTTTGTTAATGTTTGGAATAATCTGATGTCGTTTTCGGTTACTGTTTTGATGTACATTCTACGTGTAATCATCTAGAATAAAAGAAAACGACCAACCGTTTGATATTTCAGGATTTTGGACCCATTTATATATCTGGCTTTAAGATTGACAGCAGATTAATTATAGTGTTCCTGTTTTGAAGAAATATCAGGGCGTTCCATTATATGGTTGTGATATAAAAATAATCTTCGAATGTTATAAACAAATTTTTATCACTCTATTTCGTGTGGTTTAGGCAGAA